TTGGCAATTCTGCGTGCTTCGATATTACCGGCACCCTACCTCCCCAAATTGCCCACCAAGCCACCAAAACTGTCAATTCAGGATTATGGCGTGCAGTCCTTTCTAAAGGGCTTATTGTGATTAACGGTCTGTTGTCCTCATTCAAGCAGCCTCTGTTATAGTCTTCACAAACCCGTGTCGGATCCTAGAAACCTGAAAATATCCTTCAAACCCTGAGCCAAATCTCTTGGTGCTTTGGTTTCTGCCGGCTAAGGTGGATTCTGGGAGCTCCCTCAGGCTCCAGAAGACGACCTGAAGATGGACATCGAGGCGGAAAAGCACGAATATTTGCAGAAGCAGGGCTTTACTATGCAGCGACGATAAAAACCGTGGTGAGAACGGCTTTTATCGGGGGGTCTGAAAGGGTTATTGGGGACCCTAAACCCTAAACGGTACTTGATGGGCCGTGGTTCTCTACGAGGTTTCAGGGCTTCAGTGTTTTGGCCTTGTGGTCCTGTCCGTGAAGAGCCGGAGATTCAGGTCCCGGCTAAGGGTGGAGCCTCGTAGCATAATTCTAACAGGCTCTCGAAAACCTAAACCCTAAACCCCTAAACCCTAAGCCCTTGTTGGACAGCTGGAGGAAAGCGTTTGTTTTAAAGCCGGGTTTCCTGTACAAGGGCTCCCTGGCACAGGCCCTTGTCCATATCTCTTGGGGGGTTTAGGGTTTAAGGTTCAGGGTACAGACCCCTAGAGGGGTTGTCCGGTGTCACTCTCAGAGAACAGGAGTTTTTAGGGGCAAGCCTCAGGAAGCCTTCGCAAAAAGGCTGAAGCAATGCTCTCCACGAACTTAGGCCTTTTCCCCCCGGAACCCCTCATCCCAATGCCTTAGACTCTAGACTTAAAGCCGAAGCGCCTGAAGCTAGCTGGTCTAAAGCGTAAGAACCGTCTGCCGAGGCCATGGCGGGTGTCAGCGCGGCTGAAGCACCTGACTACTGGAGCGTTCACGGCTTTCCCTGTCCAAATTAAAACATCCTCAACTAGCAGAGTGGTGGCAAGAATTCGATTCGGCAAGTACCTTCCCTCCGAACTGTAAACCCGCCGGTCCATTGTGAATGGATGAGAGGCAGTGGAGAGGTCTGTTTCGGGGCTCGGGAGGTGGCTGGTGAGATTTGGAAGTATTGGGTTTGAACAACCCCTGAAACCCAAAACCCTACACCCTAGAAAGTCTAAACCGCAGGTGCCCCAAATAAAGGGTATTGAAGGAGGTCCGACGGACCCTCGGCTCTGTCACTGTCCGGGATGTTGTCGTTTTGGTTGTTTGGGCTTCCTACTTGCTGAAAAAGGGAGTTCGGAACAACGGATCCTTTATCTTTCCTCACTAAGCCCTAAAGAGAACGACTCCCCCACCGCCAACTCACAAAAATACAGGCCCTAAACCCTAAACCTCAGATCCCATACAGACCGTAGAGCCCTCACTCTGCCCTTCAGGAAGAACCGCGGCTTGCATGCTCACTTCCGTTGCGTGGAGCTGCTGGAAGATGCAACAGACACCATGCAGGCTGGCCTCAAGTCGGTTGGGGTATTGTAGGGTTTAGAGTTTAGGGTTGATTGATATGATCGTTCTGCACGAAGTAGGCTTTAGTAGTAACAATAGCAGTAGCAGCAGTTAGTAAGATAAGAATGATCGTGATGGTAATGAGTTAGTTAGTCATAAGTGATAATGCGCGAATGCCGCAAGCTCCCTTTAACCCCCTAAGCCCTCAGCTTTCCAACCCTGCTTAACCCCAATCTCAACACGAAGCCCTAAACCCTAAATAGGCCCTAAACCTAAACCCCCAAACCCCAAAACCCTAAGCCCTAATAGCCCCAAAACCCTAAAAACCCGTAAACAAAATCCCGAAACCCCAAAAAACCCTAAATAGGCCCTAGAGACTCCAGTCGTCCGTCCGTAAAACTCGCATAGAAACCTATAGCAATTTAGATTGAGAGTTTAGGGTTTATAGGGTTTAGGGTTTAGGTTCTCCACGCTGTCTCGTGAGTTGGGGAACCCGATCAGCTGCAGCATCTCAGGCCTCGGAGGCCTGCAGATTTTAGGTAAACCCTAAACCCTAAACTCTACCAGTAGAGAGTTTAGGTTTACGGGATTTAGGGTTTAGGGCTCAGGGTTTAGAGGGCTTCAGGTCTAGGGCTTGGAGGGGTTTGGGGTTTAGGGTATTGGACTTAGCGACAGGGATTAGGACTGAGGGCTTGGGGGTTTATCAGGTGTAGCGTTTGGGGTGTTGGGGTTAAGTGTTTAGGTATTAGGACTTTGGCTCAAAGGTTCTTGACGGTTTCGTGCTCATAAAGCCACACGCCTGAGCGCAAGAACTAAACCGCTAGGACGACTCTGTCCCTAAAAGGTTTTTGTATCGTATGCGGGCCTTATAAGGGGTTACAAGGTTGGCACACTAAGGGACCCTTACGGGAGGGGAGTTGAAGCGGGCTAAAGGTCTAGGTTTCCGGTTTACTAAAATTTAGAGTATAAAGCCCAATAATCTCCTAGTCTTCTTCGCGCTCCCTTAGAAAGTCCGCTGAGGTTCCCTAATACCCTCCCCGGCTTAGAACCTCGCTTATTCGCCGCCTGAAGGATCCCATTTGTACTTCTACGCCCCATCCAGGTGGTGAGAATCGAAGGTTCAGGGCTGAGAGCTTGGAGTTTGGGGGTTCGGGGCTGCAGGATTTGGGGGCTGAGAATCGGGCTGGCTTAGAAGCCTGAATCATGGGATTAGAGGTTCTGGTGTCTATACTCACAGGCCCCTAAGTAGTTCCTTTTTGTGGTTTATATTTAGAATCCTATAAGGTAATCCCAAAAAGGAACTACTTAGGGGCCTATGGGCATACTATAAGTATCTACTGGTAACCTTTAGGAGCAGCACGGTCGGCAAGTTTTTGAAGGACCAGTGGGAATCTGGGGTAGCTGAGAGTGTGAGCAGATGGGAGCAAGCGCTGGGATGGTCAGGGCAGCCGATGGCGCAACTCGAGCGGAGCGGCATGTTTCAGGGGTCCAGGGTGGGAGGGGAGGGGGGCGAAAGATGAGGGAAACATTTTTCAATTTCTCACCTGCTTTCCGGGTCTTCGCAGAAGAGTTTTGACAGCATCAAACCCCAAACCATGCTAAACCTCAGCCCCAGACCCATGAAAACCCTACAGCATGTAGTTTCAGTCCGACGCTGGAAGTGCAGAAGCCTAATTACTCTAATTGCTAAGACCCCTAAGTTGCAGGCCCACATCCAGCAACTCCTGGACGACTGCTTTATTGCTGCGGCTACACGAGATCGAAAAGCAGCCCGTCCCTCACGCCGCTTTGACAAAAGGCGGTTTAGAAATCGGGCTCACGGTTCAGCATTCGCGTTCATGATTCCTAAACCCTAAACCCCTAAACCCTAAACCCTAAGGGTTCGTGGTTCAGGATTAGAGCTCATTAGGGTCGAGGTGGCCTTCGCCAACATGAGCACGGCGGTGCCAGGCTCGGCCATCTTCTTGATGCGGATGGTTTGGAAGGCGATGGCCGAAAGAGGGATTAGGGCCTAGGGTTTAAGGGGTTGAGGGGTAGGGATCCCTTGTAAGGGATCCTAAACAGCGGTCGAATTGGGGTTTAGGGGTTAGGTGACTGGGTAGTAGGCCTGAGGGTTAGATTTGGGTTTGAGGGTTCAGGCTCTTGGGCATCTTCTTGCCCTCTTGCGTGCATCGAAGAGATCAAAGGACCGAATGCCTAGGGCTAGAATCAGGTAACTATAGGTAACTATACTGTTGAGTAACTTCTCTTACCCATTTCTGCTACTTATGACCTTGCTTATGAAGTCCCTTAAACGTTGAGACCCTATACAAGTATTGTAAAATCCTTATAAAACCGGAGCCTGGCAATAGGCACGCCACTTGGAGATCCAGATTTTGGGCGACGAGTGCGGCAACACCTTGGCGCTGAACGGCCGCGACTGCTCCACGCAGCGTTGCTTCCAGAAGATCTTCGAGGAACTCTAAACGATATCATCGGAAGCGAAACCCTCAAAAGCAACCTCAACCCCCAAACCCTGAACCCTAAAGCCTAACCCCCCCGAAACGAAGAGCCTGGAGGAAGGCCCTCCCACCATCGCGAAGCCGGATGTCTTCCACGAGATGGAACGAGCCGCCATGCGCTTGACCGCGCTGGTCAGCCTCGCGCTGCGGGCACTGTGGAGTATCTGTATAGCGCAGAGATCCTTGGCAGTCCATAACTTCGTAACCCAAAAAGGCTAGACCCTAAACCCTAACCTATAGTGCTTAGGGCTTAGGGGGTGTCTACGGGGTTAGGGCTTTGGGGTATCGGCAAGGAAGGTCACCTTTTGCTTTTGTTGGGGGGCGGATTTAAACAGGAGTTTATCCTAACCGTAAACCCTCAACCCTCAGCCCTAAACCCTAAGCCCAACTCCCCGAGCCCTAAACTGCCCCCAAACACACGAAGCCTGCGACGCTTGGCGTAGAAAAACCCAGAGAATAATGCTGCTTAATTATGGAATGCACCGTAAATTTATTGGGACCTTAATATTATGATTTAAGGTATATTCCTTAATATGGGGTATTGTGTTCTCATGGAATACCCTACACCCTCTTGAACGCCACAGCCCGAATCCCAAACCTTCAAAGCCTAAATCCCAGAAGTCAGCAGCCAAGGGGACCCAAGCCCGGCTTCTTTTGTTAAGGAGCTTATTAACTTTAAGATACCATAATACGGGGACCTATCGTGGAGTGATATGATTTTATCTGAACCCCTGAACCCTACTACTGGGTCCTTGTCGGAGACATTCCTGTTATAGTAAAACCCAACAAGGATTAGCAATGTTCATGTCAATATCGCCCCAAAAGCAACCAGACTATGGTAGCTTGAGGTACATTCCTTGACAAAGGGTTTAGGGTTTACCCTAAACCCTAAACCCTAAACCCAAACCAGATTCTATAGTCTTAGTAAAACTAAGTAGCTGAGTACATAACCTGTAACCTTTTGGGCTTATATAATCCTACCATACTTGAAACGTTAACGTTTTTCTGGCTGGGGGTAGTCAGCCTTTAAGTAGTCATTGCCAAGGACCGATACCTTCTGCTTCCTGGAGATGAACCACGTCTCCGGGTGGCGGGGCATCTCTGAAAACCTCTGAGCCTTGATCCCGAAGCTCTCTTAACCCCAAGAATCCCTAAATCCCCACAGTTTAGTGTTTTGGGTTGAGCCCTAAGCCCTAAACCCGAAACCTCAAGCCCAGAAACAGATCCTAAACCCTTAAACCCTAAAACCTTACCCAGGTGAAGCATCCCGTGACCGAGGCGATCACTGGAGTGGACATGCCCGCAGCTGGGTTCTGGTTAAGAGGCTATCTCCCTTGAAGGATTCCCCTTTAAAGGCTTCCTTTTGGAAAAGGGGTTTCTGAGGGTTACCTTTCCCTGTTTAGTCTGTTCAGATAAACCCTGAACCCTAAACCATTAAACTACTGTAACTCAGGGCTAGGATAGGATCGGGAGATTACAGCTTGCAGTACTTGAGTCTGTGAGATCAGATCGTCTGGTGTGCAGGAACTGCTTGTCCCCAAATAATGGGTATGTCCGCCGTGTTTTGGGGAAAGTGATGGCAAGGTGGACCTATCGACCGGCGCCGTGGTGTGACTTCTGTCTTTCTGCATCTTCCTTTTTGGCAGACGCGACAGGAAGTTTCATACTGGTAGCGGAGCTTCGGATCCTGTGTAGGTCCTGTAGTTGTGCAGCGCAATGTCCGCTGACGGTACGCATGGTGGTTCTCAAGATGAAGTTTCAAGTGGCGATCAGCCGCCACCCGGTTTCGAAGAGTCAGACGCAAGACCACGGGCTCCGGAGTCCCCTCCTGAGCCTGGCTTCGTTGTGAGACCTCGCCCTGCTGGCGACTTGTGGAGTAGCAGTGCGGCAGCAGGATCCCAAAGCGAGTGGACTTACCGGGATGCCGAAGCTCAAGGCAATGTTCGCGAGAGTACCACTCGGCACGAGTGGCGTGGCTCCAACTGGGACGCGGTGATGCCAGTCCGCGGGGAAGTGGATGGGACAACGGTGCCTGCCGAGGGGACGAGCAACCTGGCTGGACAAGGCGTGCTAGCTGGGACGCCACTACTTTTACTACGGGCCAAGGATCCATCGGCGAGAGTCCTTGGCTGCCACGAGAAGACCCGTGGATGAGCGGACCGGACCCTTGGTCTGAGGGATGGAAGGAAGAGAACGGATTCCGTGCCAGACAAGACGATTGGGGACTATGTCAAGCCGGTCCCCAGGCGGATGGTCGAGCTCCTCATGAACGTGGCGACGATCATGACGGCGAGATGGTGGATGGAGGAATGGCAACAAACCAGAGTGGGAGATTGCGGCGTGGAATGGATGCCCGTCTTGCCATCCACGACAAGGGAGCTTCCGGCAGCGAGCAATACATGGCGTTTGCAGTGTCTACGGCTAGTAACGGCTAATATGACTTGGACGGTGGAGTTCAAGGTGCTCTTGGACGATTGTGCGATTGGCATAACATTGCCATGAAGAGCATCGCGGCGCAGAGCCATTGGCAGGCCGGGATGATTGAGAGGCAGCAGGCGTGCTGGAAAAACATATGGGAGAGGCTCGTGCACCAGCTCACCATCGGCGAGGACGAGATCGACCTCGCTGTGCCCATTGTCAATGGGGCCAAGAATGATCTTCGGCGAAGATGCGGCCATAGCCCCTCGCAATGGGTGTTCGGGAGGGCACCTCGAGTACCCGAAGACTTGAGAGATCCGGACGGCGGCGAGAACATAACCCGGGATGTGACCGAAGACTCGAGATTCCAGAGGCAAGCGGCAATGCGAGCCGCCGCCAGAGTCGCCTTTCACCGGAGCCAAATTGACAGTCGACTCCGGAAAGCTTTTCTTCAGAGGACCAGGACGGTTCCGCGCCCACACGAGATCGGCGAGAGCGTGAACTTCTGGCACAAACCCAAGAACAGGAGAAGGGGCCACTGGATGGGACCAGCTGTCATTGTCGGCAAGGAGGGCAACAACTACTGAATATCCAACAATGGCCGGTGCAGGCTCACTTCTCCTGTGCACATACGGGGTTCAAAACCGGAGGAGGTTGGTGCCTATCTGTGGATGAAAGGGACACAGCGCGAGGTCGAGAAGTTGCTGGAGTGCGATCTTGACGGAGACGCACCGTTTGATGAGGAGCAAGACATGGACGACGCCCCCGAGGAGTTCGAGGAGATGGACTCTGAGCAGGACGCCGCTAGTTTCCTCGAGCCCACATTCGAGGAGGAAGAGCTGCCTATGCCCCGGAGGAGGCTTAAGCGAAAGACCAATGTTGCACAACTCGACGGCGAAGAAGCTCATGACGCCCTCATGCTCAAGAGCGACCTCACCAGGCGAGGGGTCGAGAAAAGAAAGGAGAAGGAGCTGAAGTGGAGCGAAATCCCGGATGAGGTCAAGGAGAAGTTCCGCGATGCAGAACGCGTTCAGTGGGAAGAGCACCTGAGCTACGACGCCCTTCAGCCTGCAGCCGCTCTCCACGGAGGAAAGCGCAAAGGTCCGGCAAAGGATCTCTGCAGACAGGATCCTTCGCTGCAGATGGGCTTACAAGGACAAGAATTGGGCAAAGCGTCGCGAAGGAGATGCAGACGCACCTTGGCGATGCAAGTCAAGGCTCGTCATCGCGGGCCACACAGACCCAGACCTCGGCACCCATTTCCTCTCTACGGATGCCCCGACTTTGTCAAGAAGTGGATTTACTTGCCTCTTGCAGCTTACGGCGACTGGGCTCCGGTACCAGGATCTTCAGGAAGAAGATCGAAGACGCCCTCTCCGGCGTCTTCGCGATTGACACCTGGGAGCAGAACCAGTTCGAGTTCCTGGGGTCTCAGATTCGCGTCAACGAGGACACCGTCAAGATGAGCCAGGAGGAGTACGCTACAACGAGGTTGTTTCACCTGGATATCCCCCAGGGCGCCAAAGACGATGACTACGCTGAGGCAGAGTTGGTCAGCAACAATCGTTCGCAGATCGGCGCGCTATCATGGATGTCGGCGCAAAGCCGACCCGACCTTACCTGCTCAGTGAGTATGGCCCAGCAACTTCAGAGCCGCCCCACCGTCGGAGATCTACGGTTCACCAACGCCACCGCTAATAAGGCTGCTCAGTTCAGGGATCGAGGGCTCGTCTTCCACCCGATTGCGATCGACCGGATCATGTTCATCGTCTGCGTGATGCTGCGTGGGCCAATGTTCTTGCCCCAGACCACAGCGAGGACTACTACGTGCTCACTCTCAAGATGACCTCGCCGGCTTGCAGACCGAGGGCCCTTACGTCAACAAGGAGCACGAAAGGAAGGCGAAGAAAGGTAGCTCAAAGGTGGCATCACAACTTGGCGTGCTCGTCACCTTTGCCGACAGGGGGATCCTCAACAACGAGCCGGGAAACTACAGCATCGCAGACTGGAAAACCAGAGCGGGTCGACGGGTGTGCAGAAGCACGTTTGGTGCTGAAACGCAGGCCTGTGCGGAGGGCCTAGAGACTGGACAGTATATGAGATCGATGCTGGAGACCCTGCGTCATGGTCGCCTGATCACCGCTGAGCAAGCTGTCCTGCCAGTTCTATGCCTAAGCGACTGTAGATCGCTTTACGACCACCTCAACAGGCGGGGCATCCCACGGGTCCCAACCGACAAACGGCTGGCGGTGGACTTGCCGGCTCTCCGCCGAGCTTTGAAGTCTGAGATGTGGGGAGACAGTTTGCCCATCGGCTGGATACCCGGCACTGTACAGAAAGGCGACATCCTTACCAAGCCTCAGAATCCTGCTGGATGGTGAGATAGAATGAGTCAGAAGCTGTTGCTCCCACTCGCTTTGGGTGGAAGAGGCGGTCTGATCTGCAATAGAAAGATCAGACAAGAAACCAGTGTGAAGCTTGAGAGTTTCCGTGATAGTATGCAAGATGGTCTTTTCTTCTGTGAGCAAAGTGTTTGCCACACTGGAGAAGCCTGAGCACAAGCGAACCCTTTTACCAGACCTCTCTCTGGGAGGCAGATCCGCGCAAGGCATTTTGGTCCGAGCTGGCAAAACAGGTGCACCGGGGCGGGGCCCGTGTGCTTTGTCCTGTGGCCCAGCCTGCTGCTAGTTTCATAATTACCCAAGCGAACACAGCTCCACCAGGTCCGACATATCATGCTGTCATCTTGAAGGTCGGCAGGACGACTCG